TAAACAGAAATTTATTTTCTCACACTTCTAGAGGTTAGAAGTCCAAGATTAAAGTGTCAGTAGCGTTGGTTTTATTCTGAGGCTTCTCTCCTTGACTTATTAAATGGACATCTTAAAACTCTGAATAGATAATTTAAATGTATTTTAATATATTCTAAGCTTAAGGGGCCAAACTGTAATATTATTAAGAAGTCTTAGAAGTTCTTCAGCCTCCGGATCTCCAGGGATACTCATAATGTAATCATGAACATTGGTATGGACATGAAAGTACTTCTGCTGATGTTTACACTCAACCATTACCTGATTATTAAAAAAAACCAAAAAACTAGTTTTTAGGTCTAGCGTTTGTATATTAGTATAAAAGCTCTAATAGTTATATTCCCATGTGTTTTAGAAAACATTATTCATTATTTTATTACTTGACTGTCTGCTATGGTTTGAATGTGTCCCCCAAAACTCATGTGTTGGAAACTTAATCTTCAATGCAACAGTGTTGAAAGGTGAGACCTTTAAGAGGTGATTAGGTCATTAGGGCTCATGAATGGATTAATGTCATTAATGCAGGAATGAGCCTGTCATTTTGCGAGAGAATGGGTTTATTTTATAATAAGAGCGAGTTCAGCCCTCTCTTGCTTTTTCTCACTCTCTACCACCCTCTCACTTTCTGCCATGGGATGGTATAGCAAGAGGCCCTTGCCAGGTGCTGTGTCACAACCACTAATTGGAAGAACTGAGACTTGGGCTCATTTCTCCTAGGCACAAAGTTTTAGAATGTCCATTACTTTACATCACATTTCCCACAACTGTCCAAAAGTTTGAGGGAAATCAGAACACAAAAAATGAAAAATCTTAGGCCCAGTCCTCTCCAATATTTCTTATACTCCATATCACGAGTCTCAAGAGTTCTCACATCAAATTCATCTGTCTACTTACCACAGCACATAGCATTTTGTTTTTGTGATATTCTATACTACCACTGTTGTTTCACCTGCAGCAAGGTAACAGGTATGGCTGTCCATCTCTATTACAACAGCTTTCATATCAGTGGGATTCCATGTTAAATAATAAATCAGTTTCTCATATTGCTGAGGCAACTCTAGAGAACTGTGGTAGGTGAAAATTTCTAAATAATTCATTCCGATATAGTTTACATTGAATATAAAGAGGAGATGTAAGGTACTTTTCCTTCACAATCATGAGACTTATTTCTCTTTTCTTTACAACACATTCAACTAGGCCTTGACATGCCAGGAAGCAAACAACTTACAGAAGCACTTCTCCAGAAGTTCATTTTTCAGATTTAAAAGTTATAATCCTGATCAAAATTAACTTTGATAAAACACCATCACTAACTTAAAGTGGATCAAACTGCCTAAAATATTAAAGAGTGTTGTCTTTTGGAGATTTACTTATAGGTCATGTTATTATTTAATCTTAAAGGTATGGAAACCATGTAAGCACAAGTTAACTATGATAGAACTATTAATTAGTATTTTCTACCATTACAGCGAGAAAGTGAATCATAAATTGAAAAATAAAAAATAAACATGATTATTTTTGTTGTGTGTAGAATTTTAATTCTGAAGAGCAATTTATGAAACATTATTATTAGTCCCATGAAAATTACTGAGACAATTTGAAATATAACTCATATAAATCAGAAAATAACCTTGAAAATAAAAAACACTAAATTAGACACATACATATAAGACAGACAAAGATAAGCATCTCAAAAATAGTTTGAGTTGTGTACAGAAAAATATTGGATCTCCTTAGTGTGAGGCAGAAGTAATTCCCCAGTTGCTTTGATGAAATCCTTTGAAATGGATGCATACTTGAGTATAAGCAAATAGTAAGGCTTAGAATCATACATGAATTATTATAAACGAAGATCCTATTTCTCTTAGGTTTTTAAAAAAATTTTAATTCATATCACATCAACTGTTAACCTTGATTTTACCAACACTAAGCACCTCCCTTAGGTTATCTAGCAAGTAATTAAAATTTCATGGGACTGTCAAGCTTAAACTAAATTCCAACTTTTCTGACTACATTCCAGCATACAATATAATGGTATAGGAAGTCAACTAAGCTTTATACTTCAGTGTCAATCTACTTTCCCAAATTACATTAAAGAGGATAAATGTCTTAGGATAATACCCAAACTACCACTTTAAAAGCTACATGCTTCAAAAGCTGAGTACTGTTTAAAGACAAAACAAATTAAAATAGTTTGTTCATTCATTAAGTAAACATTTATTTAATGTCTACTAAGCAAAATATTGTACTAAATATTGTGATTCCTCCCCAATGACTAATAAAATAAATAAGAAAAAAAAATCTAGCATGCTGGGAGGCTGAGGCAGGAGGATCGCTTGAGGTCAGGAGTTCGAGACCAGCCTCAGAAAGACCCAGTCTCTACAAAAAATAGAAAAATTAGCCAGGCGTGGTGGCGAGCACTTATAGTCCCAGCTACTCGGGAGGCTGAAGGAGAAGGATAGCTAGAACCCAGGAGTTTGAAGTTGCAGTGAGCTATGATGACACCACTGTACTCTACCCAGGGTGAAGGAGTGAGACTATCTCAAAAAAAAACAAGAAAGAGAAAAATTACAATTTAGTAAAGACAAAATGATATGGTACAAATGAATACTTAAAAATGAAGGTGTTAAGTAAGATAATTAGGAAAGGCTTCCCTAGAGAGATCATTATTAAATCAACTAATGACATTTTAATTGTAGGAATTACACACAAGAAAGAATTAAGTAAGAGATTCAGCAAATATATTTTAAGAAGAAGGTTACCTTGGGGAACTAATAAGATAAATTTGGAGAAGATAGTAAATCTAATTGACAGATTGATTTTACATTCAACATAATAGGAAATTATAACATATTACAAATACTGGGATAACAGAAGGGCAATATAAAGAAAATGCTAATTGATGAAGGTACTTCTTTCATGCCTATATGTAGGACAAACTATAACGATGGAAATAAAACCAGAAAAACTGTTGTTGCAGTTACCCAATGGTAAGGTTATAAAGGTCTGTATTAGTGTGGTTGATGAAGACTTCTCCCAGCCAGGTAACAGGCTGGATTGTTATGGGAAAATAAGATCACTAGTGTCTCCTTGCAGCCCCTAACAAACTTACAGGCCTAGAGATCTTCAATGTAGAGCAGATCAAGGAGGTCCCATGGCTGAATAAGAGGAGTAAAGTTTCCATTGATTGACCCAAAGTTGATGAACTGGATTTTGAATCCAGTTTGATATAATGCAGAAAACAAAGTTCAAAAACATATTTTTAACATATTAATGCGATATCTTTTCTTATCTTCGACAGAAAATCTTTGTGATACTATTATTCTGAAGTAGGAATTAATCCTTACAGGTGAACGGGAGTCAAAAGGATTTCGATATAATAAATTATTGATGTAAACATAGTAAAGACATAATTACTCTTGCTCCGAGATTGCCTATGCCATCTACCCACTCTTAACAGACACTCTTGCCCCTGACTTAAGGAAAATCAAACAGGTTATATGACTCATGTGGTCCTTCTTAAGTGTCAACCCATAATTTGGTCATAAATTACAGTAGACAGGTAACACATGAAAGTCACAAATTGTTGTGTCATATCAAAACCTTTGTTCTACTGAAAATAGGCCCCAACCTGCAGAATAATAAAAAGGGGGGGAAATCAAACGAGCAATTTATTTTGAAAAAAAAAATAATGAGAAACTATTTAAAATTTCATAATACTAAATGACCAAAGATACTAAATAATCGACTTGTAAAAGTTGCCTGTCACCACCAAAAATAGAAAAAAGCTCACACTAGCTATAATTTATTAAATAACCACAAGTCTTTAAGCCATTCATAATGATCAACAAATCACCAGCAACATGACCAGTGGGGGCAGGAGGGAGTGAGGTCCAGCTCTTAATGAAAAGGATGCCTACCAAAGAGAAACCAAAATAACTAAACAGACCTCTGTGCTGACTGATGGCATTTTCAATGTACTGAATAAATAGGAATGTCAAAAGCACACACACATACACACAAAAGGAAGAATCCAGAGACAAACCTGGCTGTGAAATAACAGTGTGACTTAGCATCTAGAGAAGCAAAATCATAAATTCTGAGATATTTTTCATTTGAGAGATCTTGGGTGTTCATACCACATTGCCAGCGAAGAAAAATGAAATGCTACTAGGATCTGAAAAGGAGTCTCTGAACAGAGGGCACACTGAATTCCCTTTAATAAAAAGAGGACAGGTCTGAAAAAATCTTTTTAAATTCCAGAAGGCCAGATTAAAAACAAAAAAAAGAAAGAAAGAAAACAAATGGCTTTACCCACAGTCTCATGTCTAGGACAGGGCTTTTCTACCAGGCCATGCGAAGTGTCCAAGGCAGAAGCCACCCACCGCGCATTCCCAGACTCTTAACCGTGTCACTCCAGAAACCAAGAGGCCTTCTATTTCCAGGTCGTTAATGGGATCCGAAGCACTCTGAACACATTTCCATCCAGGCCGGACCAGTAAGGCCACTTGTCTCCACAGCGGCCTCCGGTAATTGCCACACTGTGTGCAACCTGTAAGTGGGCGTCACATCGAGGCTGACCTGGCAGCCTGCCTGGTACCTTCACAAAACACTTCACGCCCTTTGTCTAATACTACTTTCTTTGCCTGGGCTCTTGTTTCGGAGAAGAGCAGCCAACAAGTACGATAAACAAGTTACACCTTTACCTCTCCTCCTCAAATGGGATGTCAAGGTGCAGAGGTACCAGCACCGCCCTGCCATCCACTCGCGGGCACAGACCCGACTGGGCGGCCCCCTCCATTCTGCCCGCACCAGGGCCCCCGCGGCCCCGGCAGCTCACCGGGAACCGTCCCGGGGAGCGGCGGAGGGGCGAGGCCATGTTGCGGGGACCCGCATGCGGTACCTAACCCTGAGTGAGCCGAGCCGGGCCGATGGGCTGCCAGGTGAGCCTGCGGGCTTACCTTGTTGAGGTGGGGGTTCCGCGTCAGCAGGTAGCCGCGCTGGTGGGTGTGGCGGCGGCGGGGGGCTTCGGGCTCCATGGCTGGCGCGGGACTCGGCGGCGGGGTCGGGCCGGGGCGTGAGGCACGCGCGCTGCGGACGGCGGATGCTGCTGCGGCGCCGGCGCGGATTGCGGCTGTGGCGGCGGCGGCGGCGGCCGCGCGGGGAAAGGCCCCGCGGCTGGGGGCGGGCGTGAGTGGCGAGAGGGGGTGGGCGCGGCGGGAGGAGCCCGCGCGAAGCCGGTGTCCCCAGCCGGGCAGCCTGCGAGAAGCGCTGAGTCATGGCAAGAGATCAGCCGAGCCGGCGTGTGAGGAGGAGGAGGAAGAGCGAGGCCCTGGCGGAGCTGCTGGTGCCTGAGGGGCGGGGGCGGCGGGACCCCGGTGCCGCCGGAGTCGCTGGCTCCCCTCCTCGCACAGGGCCCCTGGTCACCATCGGGCTCGTAATTACAGCTGTAATAGCCCTTCTCTATGTGGGACTGGCCTAAGTGCGCTCTGCACCGAATGCTGTCCTTAACCCCAGAGACCCCGGTGGGGAGGCAGGCCAGGCTACCCCGCCCGCCCAGGAGGAAGGTGGGAGAAGGTGGGAACCTGGGAGGTTCAGGCAAAGGGAATGGCTGCTCAGACACCGAGGGACACTGCAGCAGGGAAGGACTCGTGAGGCAAACCAGGGCTGTTGACAGAAGACCTCGACTGGCTGATAAGAATCAGACTTGCACTCTCCCTTGTTAGTCTCTTGGAAGCTTTCTGTCCACAACCCTCGCCGCGCCGGCCTGCGTGCAAGCCAAGCCCAGTGGCCTGAGGCAGGAGGGAACCAACTTTGACCCAGAAAGCGTAGGCTTGGGAACTGGGACAAAGGCCAGAGAGAAGGCCTCCAGAGCAGCACCGCATCAGTTTCTGTAGATATCCACGGCAACTTTGTTTGAATGCCGTTAAAGTAAGAGGCAAGGAGTTAGGGTGCAAAAGTGCAACGAACAGTCCTATTTATCTCATGTATAATTTTTCTGGAAGTTCCAGAAATCAGATGTTCAAGAACCGCTGCTCTTGTTGAATTATGATGGGTAACTCAATCTTTCAGGGCTTCAATTTCTTCTTTAGTAAAATAAGAGGGTCAAAATAAATTATCTTCCAGCACTGAAATTTTGTTAGTGGATTATTGATATTTATGCTTGGAAGTTCAAAGACTGGGGGAGTGGTCAGATCAGAGTTAGCCAAAAAGCCAGTGGTAACAGACACTAAAGTTTTCTGTGCCCCAATTTCCTTTTCAGTTAAATATAATCACTAGTTTCTGCCCTGTTCATCTCTGCATTCTGGTATTACAAAGGATAGTGTTTGGGATTAATTATTTGTTGCTTTTATATCTCTATAAACTAGACAGACATCCAATCACAATATTTTCTTCGTTTCTATTACTTTACCTTATCAGAGAGATTTGTTACGGTAATTTTTTGGGGGCCATGCTTATATTTAGAAGCTTCTCTGGCCTAGTATTTCAATTATCCAGAATTAGTTGTTTTGGTTTTTTTTTTCTTTTTTTCCTTTATTTATTATTTATTTATTTATTATTGATTGATTGATCGATTGAGGTGGAGTGTTGCCCAGGCTGGAGTGCAGTGACACAATCATAACTCACTGCTGCCTGCCTAGGCTCAAGGGATCCTCCAGCTTCAGCCTCCCCAGTAGCTGGGACTACAGGGGTACAACACCATGCCCGACTATTTGTTTTGTTTTTTTGTACAGACAATGTCTTGCTATGTTGCCCAGGCTAGTCTCAAACTCCTGGCCTCAGCAGTCCTCCTGCCTTAGCCTTTCAAAGTGCTGGGATTACAGGCATAAGCCACTGCCCGGCCTAGTTGTTATTACAGAGAACATTTTATTGGCATCACAAAGTTCTTTAAAAACATTCCTCGTATTTAAATAACACATTTCATTTTGAATTCTATAATCCATTAAAATTAACTCTATAACATCTAAGAAGGAGGTATACTTTACAAAACTCACTCTCATGAATTAACTGAGGCACCTTACAATTAGAGTGATTTATGTGAGACAAAAGCAGTTTAAAAGCAGGCCTGGAAGCCAAACTCAAGATGCTTAAAGAGAAAACAAAAATGTTAGTACAATAGAACCTTATTATAATGAAGCTCTTATTACATAAATTTAGATATATTACCTGTCTATACCTGTTTCTGAGATTTAATACTTACAGACAGGAAAGCTGTTAAAAATATAGGGAGTAACCCAAAAAGAGTATATCGCCTCTTCTTCCAAGCCAACATTACAAGGGGATTACAATATCCTGCCAGTGCAGGTAAAGTTCACATCTTTCATCTATATGTTTACTTTTCTTGTGAAAAGAGCTGCAGTCATCATGATTGATAACAAGATAAGGCCTAGCTTAAGGAGCCAGTTTGTACATTCATATGCAGTTCCAAGAATGCTAGGAAGAATCTATTTTTCCACAGAAATGTTAGCTAGAGCATTACATTTTTCAGTCCTTTTTAATCTTTTGTAAGGGTAGGCTTTATTGCCAAAAATATGTAGGAAAACAAACACATAGAAAAAACTCTTTTGTTTTAATTTGCCTTGTAAGAAACTGTGGTTGTGCAGTCATTCTGCACACAATTGGTAACATTAAGAATGGGTGTGATTCACAAATTATGTCACTAGAACCTATAAGTTTCTGGTATACAAGTGAGAATATAATCAGTCAAAATCACATTTTTCTTGCCCAAGTTAAAATCAGTTTGCTATTCAATGAGTTTTTACAATATAGATTAAAATATGATTGTAGTGGATACTCTGATTTAATGTCAGTTGAGATTATAAGTAAAAAATTCAGGAAATATCTAATGGCACATACAGTAATTCAAATAATTACTTTCATGAGAAAAAGATGATCTAATAAAAAAAGTACCTATACAATGGTTTGTAATATTAAGTAAATTATCCTGCGTTTTTTCACACAAAAAAGTACATTACTAAAAGTACAATCTTTAAAATCTAGTATATATTTTATATTATACCACATCTCAATTTGGACACGAAATTTTTATGCTCTGCACCGAATGCTGTCCTTAACCCCAGAGACCCCGGTGGGGAGGCAGGCCAGGCTACCCCGCCCGCCCAGGAGGAAGGTGGGAGAAGGTGG